CAGTTTTTCTTAGAATCAAGTTTATCCACCATAACTTTTCATTCCTTTTGTCTTTGTTCCAACTGTTGTTGTTAATTGTTCAGTTGTTAAGTTGTGTCTGACACTTTGTGACCCCCATGGACTGCAGCACGCCAGTCTTCCCTGTCCTTCACTATCTCCCAGAGTTTGCTCAAACTCACATCCATTGAGTTGGTGATGCCATCCAACCATCTCATCCTCTGTCGCCCCCTTCTCCTCTTACCCTCTATCTTTCGCAGCATCAGGGTCTTTTCCAAATGAGTCAGTTCTTCGCATCAGGTGGCCAAAGTATTGGAGCTTCAGATTCAGCATCAGTCCTTCCAATGAATATTCAGGACTGATTTCCTTTAGGATTGACTGGTTTGATCTCCTTGCAGTCCAAGGGACTCTTAACAGTCTTCTCCAGCACCACAGTTCAAAGGTGTCAATTCTTCAGCACTCAGCCTTCTTTATGGCCCAGTGCTCACATCCATACATGGCTACTGCTGCTGCTAAGTCACTTAAGTCGTGTCCGACTCTGTGCAACGCCATAGACGGCAGCCCACCAGGCTCCCCCGTCCCTGGGATTCTCCAGGCAAGAACACTGGAGTGGGTTGCCATTTCCTTCTCCAATGCATGAAAGTGAAAAGTAAAAGGGAAGTCGCTCAGTCATGTCCAACTCTTAGCGACCCCATGGATTGTAGCCCACCAGGCTCCTCCATCCATGGGACTTTCCAGGCAAGAGTACTGGAGTGGGGTGCCATTGCCTTTTCCACATGGCTACTGGAAAAACCATAGCTTGGGCTATATGGACTTTTGTTGGCAAAGTGATGTCTTTGCTTTCTTGTTCCAATTATTTGGACACAAACTCAAAATAGTTCTGTTTTCTAACTATAAAGTAAAAGGTGCTCACTACCAACATATCCACTATAGGTAGTAAAGAATCATCTGCAATCCCTCTATCCAGCAGTGGCTGGTTTACAATTTTGGTATACAGTGTTCTATTCCTTTTTCTATGCACATATTCTCATGTGCAAAACATAATTATAACACATGAGATTGGTAGCCATCCTATTTTGTAGCCTGCTTCTTTGACTTAACATCCTGTCACATTCCAATCTTCTCTTGTCAGTAAGTATGCATATTTTAATAGCTGCGTAGTGACTTTTTAACCATTCTGACAATCGACAATTAAATTGTCTCCACTTATTTTCCTATCATGAACAACATCTATGTCCAGGCTTCTTTTGACTTTGACTGATAATTATCTTAGGATATATTCCTGTAAGTGCAAATGCTGGGTCATTTCTCCACCCTGTTGCCCAAACCGTGTTTTATCAATTTCCCATGTGAATTGGTGAAAACTGACACCTTACTGTTTACTTTGAGTGTATTTGATTCCTGGTGAACATCTGTTATATTTATTGGCTATTTGTAGTTCTTCCTTCATGGCCTGCCTGGTCATAACCTTCACCTATTTTTCTTTTGGAATGTTTGTCCTGTTTTATAAGACTGGATTTTAAGAAAAATCTTCTCCTGATACCTTAAGGAAGATAAACATTCAGAGATGAGATACATGTAGGTGAGAAGGGAAATTGCACATGGAAGGGTCGGGCTTTTTATAGATACTGGTTCCTTCCTGTCCCAGGTTTCACCACTTCTTCCTTAGAGGACCCTGGTCAGGGGGTGGAGTAGAAAGGTGTGTCACCAGCCCTTCCACCAGGTGGCGCTCTGCTCCCCTCTGGTGTTTACCCTTTAGTGTGGACACATCTGGTGCTGTGTAATTAGATTAGCTGAGGCATCCCGGGCACTTCTTGAGATAAACCTGACCAGAAAACAATGCCGGGCGAAGCCACACTCCGCCTTCCAAACTGCAGTAGATTCAGCGGACCCTGCTCTAGACCTAAGGCATCGTCCATTGTTTCCAGAGCCCTTTCCTCAGCATAATGCTGAACCTCGTTCTCCAGCCTGCCCGCTCTGGTCCTGGGAAGCAGCACTCTGACTGCCTGGCTCCTCTACGTGCCGACATTCCTACCCCACTGCCCTCTCCCATGAGCAGTCTCGCCTCCACTCTGAGTCACTGTCACTCTAGGTCTTGGCTCCCCCAAGAAGCCCCAGCCTTCTCTTGTTCTGTACTCTTCTCTGTCTTGTTAGGTTTGCACAATTGCAGGTCAGTTAAGAGGCTGAGATGTGACCTTGGTGTCCAGCCCCATCTTCCTGGGAGTCCTGCCACATGCATCAGCTTCTCTTCATGAGCTGAGAGAGCCCCTTTCTTTTCTTCCTGCAAAGTTTCAACTCTCCTGGATTCCCTCCCATGCCTGTGTCTGGTTTGAAAGGCAGCTCTTGAGCTCATCAGAGAGCAAAGATGACTCCGAGACCCCCAAAAGCAGGCTGCTCCTGTTCTGCCTCACACTTCTCAGGGGTCTTGCTGCAGGGGTCTTGGGGGATCTTGGTAGGATATATTCACTGACATAGCCCAAGACCCTGGAATGGCGCCTGATACACAATGGGCACTCAAGGAATGCTTTTGAATGAATACATGAATTAGGTTTTGTTTCAGTGCCCCATCTACAGTCACTTCTAGAATCTTTTGACTACAGTCACATATATGAAAGGAAAAAAAAATCACTTAAATGCATCAGTAGCGCCTTACTTGTCCATCAGCAGGAGAGTTGCTCTCATAATTTAATAGAATATTTTTAGCTATTTGAAGAAAAAGCTATCTATATGTTAAATATTATTAAGTACACTTGGGCTAAAATATCACAGTGAATATCTATAGCCAAGGATTAGGATAGACATTCATGAGAGTAGAGAGGGCCAGTGGGGGAGGCCTTTAGGGGGATGTGGTGATTGACTGTCAGTGAGTGTGGGGTTTCTTTTTGAAGTGATGAAAATGTTTTAGAACTGACTGTGGTGATGGTCACACTACTTTAAGTACACTGAAAATCATTGAACTGAATATTTTAAATGAGTGAATTGTATGGTAGACAAAAAGTATCTCAAGAAGGCTGTTATTAAAAAAAAAAAAAAGACATAGGCATTCAAACATGAATCTTCACTCTTCTTCATTCCTACAGAAAATCCTTTGAGTAAACCATTCATGTTTTGAAAAGTCCTCTCTTCCTGTCTCCCTCCCCAGTTTGGCTCCTCTCGTAGCAATTAGGGCGCAGGCTACACAGAGCGCTTGCCCTGGATATTTGTCTAGGAGTCTGTGGGGCAGCACAGACGTGGGTGCTGGACCAGGATGAAGAGCAAATGCTGACGGGCTGCAAGGCCGCTGCCCAAAGCTTGTGTCCCCAAGCCAGGAATAAGGAAGCTTTGCCAGGCTTGGAGCCACTGCTTCAAGTTGCTTGAGGTTTTCCACAAGCACAGGCCCAACTTGTAACAGGATTTCCAAGCTCCCAGTGTAGCAAAGTAAATATGCCCTAGGCTTAATTATATGTGTTATGTAAAAATTGCCATCCTCTAAGGAGACACCAGGAGCAAGCAACTCACTCAGCTACTCACAAGTCTTTAAAAGAATCAAGAGGATGGGGTAGTGTGTTAATATATTTCAGAAATGATTTTTGTGGTATTTTTATTTGGGAACTTTAGGTTATAGCTTCTTCCATGAGCCATGCATTGGATGGAATAATAATAATTCCTATTTCATAGAACTGTTGGGAAGATTAAAATAATGTGTGCAGGGTGCCTGGCACAGGCAGAGAATGGGCTGTGCATCCTGTAACTGTTTATTACTAATCAGAGCCGGAGTTGGCTGTGTCCAGACCCTCTAATCTTGTCACCCTGTCCGTGTCCAGGCAGGCCAGGCCTCAGCCTCTGTGCCACACGGTGAGTGCCTTGGGTGTCTGTTCACGGTAGAGATGGCTCCTGTCGCCGGGGCCGGGGGCAGCGTCACGGGAGAGCTGGCTGCTGGTCTTGGAGCCCGGCTCTGCGGCTTCCCTTCAGGGTGACTGGGGGCCAGTTTCTTCCTCAATACGGTGAATTAATCAATTTAGAAGCACTGCATCTGCTTTATAGGGTTGTCTTGAGGATTTAATAGGCTAATATTTGTCAGGGGCTTAGAAGAGTGTCTAGCACACTGAACGTGTTTGGACCTGTTGAATAGAAAGATGACTAGAGAGCTGGGCTCTGACAGGGAAGAGGGAAGGGCCATGCTATGCGGCAGCAATGTTTGGAAGCTGGAGGTGAGGCTGAAAAGACCCAGTCCTGGGCACTTCCTCCTAGAAGCAAAAAGTGATACCAGGTGGGAGATATTTAGAAGTATCCTAGAAACAGCGACAACAGCTCTGTGGAATTTCCTACCCTCTTGCCAGAGGACTTTTAGAAATGAGATAGATGCTCATTGCCCGGGGTGCCTAACATAGAAGACTGTGTAAAGCTGTTGTTTGGATTATCCAATGGGCTCCTAAGGTCGTGTTCGATGTAATACCAAGATTAATCCCATAAACTGGACTTTGGTAAAACCTAAAACATGATTTAAGACATGGATACAAGTGGTAAGACAAAAAGCAGTCAGAAAAGAAATAAAAACTCGAGCAATCTGACTTTTCTTAAAGGGATTCTTTTTTGTTGTTGCTTGCTTCTAATATTTGAAGACTTCCAGGAGTATTCAGTTTGTCCCTTAAAACCCAACAGTGTTTACACAGGAATCTATTAGCCCTCCAACTGAGCTTTTGGAGAAATGGAGATTTTGCAATGGGAAAATTTCACATAATATCCTATGTTCCAAAGTATGATTAACAGCAGTCCTATTTTCAAATCTGTATTAAGTCCTTCTACATAGTTTGCTTAGCTTTTAGTTCAGTTTTGAATTATCATGAGTTCAGTTTACCCTTTCAATATGGGAAGACACAGCACACACCCCCGGCCCAGGTCTCCAGAGTTCTTCCCTTACCCAGCTCAAAACTCCGTACACAGGCATTCATACAGGCTGTTGACCCTAAAAACCCAGTCTCCCACTTTTCTAGCCCATGGCAACATACAGTCTACCTACTGACCCAGGTCCTTGCTTCTCTGGCCCACGGGCTGTGGTTGGAGGCTGCTGGTGGTAGAGCCTGCAGATGGGGAGGGCTTTGGCAAGATGGTGTGGGTGGTCTCGATGGCGGTGGTCCCCGGGACCTGCGTCACAGTGACTGGCTGTGCTGCTGTCCCTGGAACTGATGGGCTCTGATCTGCTCTTGCGGTCTCACCTGAAAGAAAGTGGAATTACACTGGGGCTTACAGAATAGCTGGTAGGCTCTTCAGGACAGAAATAAGTGGTTCTTGAACACTAGCTGTGAGCAAAGTCCTGTGCTAGCTGCTGTGGAGGCATGTACAATCTGGATGGAGAAATAAGTCGATAAATGAACCAAAGATGAAATAATGATACAATATTTAAAAGGCAGCTCAAACAATAGCCACATAAACAAGGCTGAACATGATTAATCATCAAATTAATTTGCCATACACTAGAAGCAATGGTTCATGGATATATATGCTGTTTCAGTTCGTGTTGGCCTAGAGGTAAGGGGTGGTTTCAGGGCTTTCATTGTTTTAGAGAATGTGTCTTAGATGTTTTGGTCTTGGTTCATGACTAGCTGACTAACTCCTCCAGGTCCCAGTTTCTGCATCTGTAAAATGGGGTAACAGAACTAATCAGAGGGTAAAGACCATCTCGTTTCTTCTTCTAAATGTTACTCCTCATCCACATGTGATGATTTAGATTGCTTCCACGATTTTAAATGATCTGAATTTATTAGGTTGAGGGCATGGGGGGCAGGCGGCCCACTGGACCTTGGGGTTGTGTAGAGAACCATGGGTCTGCGTCAGAAGGGAAGACCACATGGCCCCCAGAGTGAACAGCACCCCAGCCCCGGGAGGGAGCAGCGGCCACCCTCACGTGTGCCTGCTGGACCCCACGGCAGGTGTGCCGGCTTCTACATCCGTGCATCTGTGTTAGTTTCCTGGGGATGCTACAACTAATTACCTTAAACTCAGTGGCCTAGAACAACAGGAATGTGGTCCCTCAGCCTTCTGGAGGCAGAAAGCTGGGATCAGGACCACGGGGCGGGCCTCCCCCCGGAAGCTCTCAGGGAGACTCTGCTGCTTGCCTTTTCTGTTTCCTGGTGGCAGTGCAGTCCTTGACTTGGCACCCCTCCAGTCTCCAAGGCTGGCATCCTCAATTCTCTCTCTGCTCTACTTTCATGCAACCTTCTCTTCTGTGTGTGTTAAATCTCCCTCTCCCTCCTCTTACGAGGATACATGTGATTGCATTGGGTCTCCCTGACAACCCTGCTCTCAGACAGTCTAGGATCACCACCGTGCCCACCACCCCCGCCCCCCGCCATCTAAAGAGCCTTAACTTAATCACATCAGCCTCCCAGCCTTTTTGCCCCTACCTCTTTCTTGCTGTGTAAGAAAACGTCTGCAGATTCCAGGATTAGGATACGGATATCTTTTCAGGGGTTGTTTTTTCAGCCTATGACAGCATCCCAGCTCTAGCCGTAACTCTGCTTAAGGATGAAGCATCTTTGGTACACAGAACAGCAGGCCGGGGGTAGCATCTGAGCTAGAAAGCTCTATACTCTGTGGGAGCCACCCAACCTCCTCTTGGACATGGTACTGCGTGCTGGGCCGTGTCAGCCTGCAGCCCTGTCCAGACGTGAGGCGGGGTCGGGTGTTCAGACCCACTGCCCAGCCCTGGTCCTTGCCAGTTTCCCCACCTTGACACTCTCACTGCCTGCGGGAGTCAGAGCATTGACCTGGGAGCACAGGTCAGCACAGAACATCCTGGAACTGGGCTAGAGTTTGGCCGTCCTGTCTGCTCTCTCAGGCGCTAGGCTGGCAACGCAGGAAGCGGATCCTGCATTTACCCTGATGCTTGCTAGCAGCTGGTCGTCTTTAAATCCGCCTGGAGACTGTGCCAGACTAATTGCTAAAGAGCTGGCAGCGGCCTCAGGGGTTCAGCCAGTCTTCACGCCATCCTTGGGCAAAACTAAACCTGAGTGATTTATGACGTTTCCATTACTCTAAAGGAACTGAGCTTTCATAACAAGTCCTTGGGAAGTTTCTAATTTCTCCAAAGGACTCCTCTGTTCTACCCTCTGGTAAATGCTACCAGGCATTAATGCCTCTTTAGGGAGACACAGGCTCAGGTTCATACAGGGAAAAGCCATTTAACAGAATCACTCATGTATTTTATGAAATAGGATATATTACTAATTTGGAGAGAAATCTATAAGTAAACTGACAGTTCATTGTACTTGCAGATTATTAATTAAAGCACAGTTAATTAAAAGAAAAACTTACTTGAAAATCGTGAATAGTTTGCCACTTTAAACTCATTAGATACTAAGAATCTGGATTATCTTTTTCTCATACCATTGGCTAGTTCTGAGGTTGCCAACCTGCTTACCTGCCAGTCTGCCTTTGCTGATATTGATTTGCTAGATAGGAAATGAAATATCCTGTAGACAGCCATTTCTGTTACTTGCTTAGAACACAGATATTTTCTTTCTTTTTTTTTTTTGCTTATTTAATTAGCAGTTTTTATTAATGAAAATTCACAATGAAAAAGGAGTTTGGAACACAGATATTTTCAAGCATAAATGAATTCAACCAACAGAGCCGTCTCGTTGGTCTTCCACACTCTTCCATGGAAGACCTAGTCATTTTTGCCTGCTCTCTTTCAAGGAATAGAGCTGTCTCTAAGAGAGAGATAGAGAAAATACCCCAAATGGTTCCAGTTCCTTATTGAATATAATGCCTGGTGTGACACCAAGTGAATTCTTCATGAGACCAGGTTCCTTTTGAGAAATTTGAAATAAAACTACTAAAAAAATAGTTTCTTTGTACAACTTCAGGTATATGGACGCTTGGGCTTTTTTCAAAGATTTTCATGGGAAAACATTTCAAACCTTCCCTCAGACTCTTGACATATTATTCTTTGGACAAGGTCAAGAATAGCTCCAGACTCAACCACACCAAGGGGTCCCCCAGCTGCCTATACCTGGACATCATTAGGATTGCAATGAGGGTGATTCAGGTGCTCTATTCACAGAGATTCTGATCCACTGATCTAGAGGGTGCCCAGGAAATCTGATTGGAGAAGCATAGTCAGCGCCAGGCGGCTGGGCTTTTGGCTCCAGCCCTCACCAGCCTGGCCACGAGGCTCTCTCCAGTCTACTGAGCCTGGCTCCCTTTGCTGTAAAGTGGGGATGGTCAGACCTAGCTGGGGGGCTGTTGCCACAATTAGAGATCATGTCTATAAGGGGGCCACACAATGCTTGTCACGTGGTAGAACTTTGATAAATGACAGGAGCTGACATCATCGTGATACACCTGCCTCTCCCCCAGGGGAGGGTTGCGATGCTTGAGGGGATCGTCCTAACCTGATTTATCTGTTTACTCACATTCTAGGTGAGATCAGGAAGCATCTTGTTAGGGGCAGGTTGGGACCTGAGCAGCTGCTGGCCTGCACATCTCCAGTTCTCCCTCCTCCTTCCATTTCTAAAGGAATTTTATCACCAAAGAAAGAGTGGCAGCCAAGGGGGCCACCCTTTTTACTGTTCTCAGTGGATTTTTTATTTGAACTGTTGAGACTCACTGCATGGTGGGACTGTCACTTGAAAGAGAGGTTCCTCTAATTTTGAGGCTGGATAAGACCCTAGTATCTCTTTTATGCTGGAATCCTTACAGCTGGGCTCAGAGTCTGTTACCAAATGTGCTCAGCACATGGTTAACTGAATGACTGAATGAGTGAATTTAATTTTTCAGACTCAGACAACTCTGGATGGTCTTGTGATAAAAGGCTGGTAGTGAGAAATGGAGATGGTGTCATTGAAAGTGGAGATGGTTTGGTAGAAGGGACGGGTGATTGGAGATATGGCTTTTGCTAGTTTTAAATGTGCATAGCAGCATTAGAATTCCCTGCTTGTCCAGTGGTTAGGACTCAGTGCTTTTACTGCCCAGGATCCAGGTTCAATCTCTAGTTGGGCAACTAAGATCCTACAGCAGGATGGTGTGGCCAAAAAATATGTGTATGTAGCAGCATAGTGTGAGAAGGCACCAGCTTCTCCACATTCCTCCTGGTGGTCAGTGAGTCAGGTCTGCAGGGTGGGTGGTGCTAAGCTGGGCCATGGTGCAGGGGCAGATAGAGAAGTTTTGGAATTAGTTTCTACTATGGAGGACCTAGAAACCCACTGATCATCTAAGTCACCATTGGTTGTGACTGGTTTCTCTCCCCCCACCGCCCCTCCCCTCTCCCTGACCCACATCAGGGGGATGCCATTGGAGCTCTAGTGCCATCGGCCGATTAGAGTGGCGCCCTTGGGGAAGGTGCTGAACCGTATCTGAAATGGGGGTGTCCTGGCCCTCTGCCTCAGGGTCGCTGTGTGGGACAGGTGTCTGGCACAGTCACAGGAGGGGGTGCGGGAATCTGTCCAGATTCTGGCCATGGCCCAGTGCAGAAGCCAGAAGGCCCCAGTTCCCGCTTTCTGTCCCCGCTTTCTGCATGAGGAGAGGTGTCACTGAACTTCCCACGGCTGGGGCCGTGCTGGCAGAACTGTGCTGTCGGTGGCCCCACCTGACCCAGGCCCCTCAGCAGAAGGACTCGAAGAAGGGGAGGGGTCCGAGGCCACCTCGGGGGAGAGTGGTGTGCAGGCTAAGAGAATGCTCCCCCCCTCCCTTCCTGCTTTGTCCTCTCCCCGGGCCCACAGCAGAAGGGGACAGGTGACATCTCAGAAATGGTCCATGGGGCGCCACCCTCTGCTTGTGGGAGGTGTTAAGGAAGACTTGATTCTGTGCAGTTAAACAAACAAAAACAGGTCTAGAGTACTGGAATAATTAAGAAGTCATTAAAGATATTATTGGAGAGTAACTGGGGCGGGGAATGAAAAACATCCTCTATTTGAATGCTAAGTGCCTCAAGTCAGGATTCTTTATATACACTGTAATTGGCAGAAAAAAATACAGGATAACAGTGTAGAGAGGGCTTTCTGGAGCCAGACTGACTGGATTTGATTCTCAGCTCTGCTACTTACTTGCTGTGTGGCAAAGGGCAAGTTACTAAACTTCTCTGGTGCTGCAGTTTCCTCAAACTCTTAAGTTAGGACTAAGAATAGTATTAATACGTATCCGTGGTGTTGCTGAGGTGATCAAATACAAAGATCAGGTAGATGTTCCAATGATCTTGGAACAATGCCTGGCACACAGTAAAATCTCCATAAATGCTGGCTAGCTTATATTGCCTTTTTAAAACCACATTCACGTTATGGACATGAACAAAGTCAGCTAGCCTGTCAAGTGTGTGGCTGTTGTTCAGTCCCTCAGTAGTGTCCAACTCCCACAGCACACCAGGCTTTCCTACTCTTCACTATTTCTGTTTCTTCATTATTTCAAGTTTCTGGAAGTAATGTTAAATCCCACCATAAAACAACTCACAGCTTCTCTTGGATGAGAAATCAAAGTATCACCCCACCCCCCACGCCCCCCTCCCCCGGCGAAAGGACAGGAATGCATAGCACAGTTATTGCTTTTACACAGAAACCCAGAAAAGGTATTTTCCTAGCCTGAGTGCTCTCTGTGCCCCTTTAGTGGTTCACAGGAAGCTGGGTTGGCACAACCTCACAGACAGTGCAGTTTTGGCTGGTGGTGTTGAGATTAGCGGCTTGCTATTGTCACAGAAGCCACATTACCTTCTTTGCTTCCCTTCATTTCATACCTAAGTAGAGACAGTCTTTTCCCTTTCAGCCACCAGGGAACGTTTCCACACAGAATGTCATGTCATCTTCTAAAGGAGCAATACAATAAAATTCAAGGCAACAGTCATTCAGAACAAAAATGACACAAACACAGAGATAATCTCAGAATTGCACAAACGAAAAATAAAGCCTCACTCTTCAGCCCATTGATTTCTGTGCCCGCGTTCCTGGCATCTGTTAAAATATTACTGGAGTCAGTGGAGCTTGACTGGTTAAGATGCTAATTTCCACCCTATCTTCTAAAACACAGTATTGCCTGATTACAAAATCAAAAGATTTAGATGAAATCACACGTGGACACTTGCCTGCTTTGGCAGCTGGGCTTTTAGATGATGAATATGTAAGAGACGATGGGTAGGTTATACCTTTTTGGGGTTTACCTTCTGCAAAAAAAGGAAAAAAAACTATTTATTTCTGGAGCTAGAGATTTTAGATGGTGGCATCCTAATAAGTTGATTCCCTCCTTCTGATTTGTTTCTCTTGAGTTTAATGAAATCAGTCAGTCTCCACCCCCCTCCCATCCTTTGCTGAATTGTTGATTACAGTGAGAAAGTCAAGTGGCATTCTGTTTTTCTGTATTGCCTGTGTTTTATTAATAGCAGAAAGGAAGCCATAACATCTTCATGACTCAGAATTAACATGAGCAACCCTTATTTGCTCGTGAAGATGTGACCTGGAAGCAAACTTTTCATACATGTGACTCTGAATGTTGAACCAGGTCAGTAGATGAAAATCCTCCCTACACTCTCTTGGACATGAGAGCTCTCGTGGCTGACTGACTGTGCATGAACAACTACCTTTCACTTTCATGGACCCTGTGGGACCCATTTGAATTCCACAGCACTAGAGAAACTTGAAAGTAGGTAAATAGAGATCAGCCTTGAAAATAGCCATTTGTTGCACACCCGGGGAGTGAAAGTTTAGAGAAGAAATGCAAATGTGTATCAGGGAAACGGTGGAGGCATAAACAAGAAAAATTATTGGGGCTGAGTAGGCAAGTCTCAAGCCTGGTGTTACTGAACAAACCTGTGAAGACTGCTGCCCATGGTGGTCCTATGCCAGGGAGTTAGCCTGAAGTTCCACCAGGGAGCCTCATTCCAAGGAAATGGAAACTGTCAGAAGAACACAAGCCCCACTGAGGCAGGTAATTGGTCTCACTTGGTGGTTGTTAAATCCCCAGGGCCTTGAGCAGTGTCTGGAATGTAGTAGATGCTCAGTAAGTATAACTGAAGAATTACCTTAGTGCTTAGATCTCTGTTCCCTGGTAGCCTAGACAGTAAAAAATCTGTCCTGAATGCAGAAGACCCAGGTTTAACCCTTGGGTTGGGAAGAGCCCCTGGAGAAGGGAATGGCAACCCACTCCAGCATTCTTGCCTGGAGAATTCCATGGACAGAGGAACCTGGTAGGCTGCAGTTCATGGGGGTCACAAAGAGTTAGACATAACTGAATGACTAACACTTTCACTTAGGTCTCTGTTAAAATTTAAATACACTTGGAAGGGGTCTCGCCTGTTCGGTGACATTTCCACCTGATAATGAAAGCATTTTTAACTCTCAACCCAAGGGAATATTTCTATAGGATGGGCTTGGAGAGGAGACAGTGTGGAGTGTCAAATAGAAATGGTCAGTGGAACAGAATCTAGTGCCTGAGTTCACCAAAGGCCCTTCTGGCACAAGGAACAGCAAGGGTCATGAGGTAGAATGGGTAACAGGCTCTCAGGAAGGGTTTGGGATTGAAAGCAAGAAAATCTAGGTTTCTGTTTCTATTTTACCAATGATTAACTGCTTCAATCTCTAAGACTCTCGGTGTTTTTTTTTTTTAATTCAGAAAATATGGGTAATGATATGGACCAACTTACCAGACAAAGTTGTAGGGATCTGAAGGAAAAAATTAGTTAAGATGTTTTGGAACCATATATCACCATAGAGATGCAAAGAAGTTATTCTGGTGTTAGCTATGAATGTCACTCAAGGTGAGAAAGAGGCACATGTTTGGGCTCAAGGGAGTTACTTCATCTTATGAAAGCCCACCCAGAGCAGGGCTGGGCAGCTCGGTTCGGCCCTGCTCCAAGTAGACGGCATATGCTGTGCTAAGTCACTGTCTTGTCCAACTCTTTGCGACCCCATGGACTGTAGCCCTCCAGGTTCCTCTGTCCATGGGATTCTCCAGGCAAGAATACTGGAGTGGGTTGCCATGCTCTCCTCCAGGGGACCTTTCCGACCCAGGGATCAAACCTGGGTCTCTTGCGTCTCTTGCTTTTTCCCTATTGGCAGGTGGGTTCTTTACCACTAGCGCCACCTGGGAAGCCCAGGTGGACAGTGAGTGGGGCTGTTTCAGACCCAAGGAGGGTGCCTCTATCCACAGCAAACGCCACAGGGACACCGGCTCGTCAGTTTCCTAGTCTTCTCACATCGAAAACCCTGTGGTTCTCTCTGTTTCTATTCAGAAGGAAAAGGAGCCTGAGCTCAGCTTTCTGAAATGTGGATCAGAGGACAGACAGGCAGTATTAGGAAGTCCCTCTCTGACCTTTCCCATCTCTGAACTGTGGAAACACTATGCTGAACAAAAAGACATAAGCCCTCTCCTGCCCCCTCCCAGCCTGCCAAAGTGAATTAATTAAAGACACATAGCAACATGTGAAAATCGGAAATAAAAGCCTAGAGAAAGGTCACGAAGACATCTGAACCTTCAGAAGAGGACTCTGAGATGATCCAGCAAAACTCACTGGCCGTGAGCCACTGGACAGCAGATGAGCGAGCTGTGGCCGCTGTCGGCTGAGACTCTCACGTGGCATTGTGCTCTCCAAACTCATTCACTGGTAGTCATCACAGAGCACACATGCTTATTATCAACGGCAAAAAGTGCTTCTGGTTAGATGTCACTAGGTGACATGAGATGACACAGCAGTTGAGACTTATAGGGAATAACACAGCAGATTGATTTTCATTTAAAAAGTCCCAAACATCTCTACTCGCATGGAATTCATTTTTCTTTTAAACTTCTCTTAGGATTCTTGGATTGCAGGCTAAGCACTGAAGACTGAAACCCTCTTATTCCCCTAGGGGCTCCTTGGTAAACACCAATGTGGAGATTGTACTTCTAAGATTGGCAAACTTGTATTCTAGACCTTAGTATTTTCATATGGCCCCTGTTTTGTTATGAGGTAAAGCCCACAGTACTATGATTAATGACCTCCCACTACCTGACATAGAAACTGGTATAGTTTGAACCCTGGGTGTGCAGAATTCCGTATGTAAGAGGAAACAGAGATTGCTCAAGTTAGAAGATCTGATTGTAGTCCTACTAAAATTATGATCAAAGAAGGTTGGGACACGGGGCATCTAAAGGTGCAAAAATCCCACCCAGATTGGAAGGCCTGCTCTATTATGAGTCATTTCTCTCTTCTTTGCTTTAGCTGGCCTTCCACAGGTGGTACCTTCTCAGGAGAGTCACATGACCTCTGATTTTGTGGGGAATGCCAGGAAAGTTTGCGAGAATGTATTTAAAATCCTGCAGTGCCTCTTTGGAGAAAATGAGAGATTCAAGGTCCCAGTGCAGAGTAAACAGTGCAGGGTGAAGACAGAACACTGTCTTGTGCTCAAATGCTGATGGGGCATGTCAAAGCTGGAAGGGCTCCCGGTGGCCAAACCTGGAAGATTTGAGCATCAAAAAGAATAATGATGATAATAGGCTATAACATGTTGTATTTTAAAAAACAATCTGTATTTCCATCATGGTACTTGGAAAAATAGTTGTGTGTGTGTGTGGGGCGGGGAGGGCTCATTTCTTTTTGTAAGAACACTAGCTAATAACTGTGGAAGAATAAGGATAATTTTTCAATTTCTGACTTTACTCTTGCTACTGAGGCAAGGATCACTGATGGATGTTAAAACCATTGGGTGAATTTTGGGTGGGGGGACAAGCTATTCATGCTGTTTTGAAGTATCATCCTATAGATTGCTATTAATTACAAAGTATCTTTTATCATGGGGAGATATTATAAAGTATCCAAGTTATCAAATTAAGCATCACCAACAAATGGACAAAATAACATTATGTGTCTCCTTATGACCATTTATGATACTACACAATGGATATGCTATGTTACTATCTATGTAGTATCTTTGCCAAAATATTTAACCTGAATCCAAGCATGAAGCAATAGCCAGACCTGTTTGTGGTCCAGATTGTGAAACATAATACTAGATGACTGGCTGAGACTTCAAAAATGTCATCGCAGGACTTCCCTGGTGGTCTAGTGGTTAAGAATCCACCCGCCAACACAGAGACAGGGGTTTGACCCCTGGTCTGGGAGATTCCATATGCCACAGACCAGCTAGGCCCGCGGGCCACAACTATTGAGCCCACATGCCCTAGAGCCTGTGCTCCGCCACAAGAGAAGCGACCACAGGGAGAATCCCATGCACTGCAGTGAAGACGTAGCACAGCCAAAAATAAATAAAATTTTAAAAAATGTCATCACTACTCATGACCAAAAATGGAAGTGTGGTGGTAGACAGGTCCGCATTAAAGGAAACCAAATAGACATGATAAGTAAATACAATAGGTGATCTTTGTAGATACACCCCCTAAAAGAAGAAGAAATTATTGTGAAGAATATTTTGGGTATAGTTGGATATAATTGAATAAGACTATTTCTTATTTTTCCTATTTATTAATATTCATTAACATTATTGTAGCAATGCAAATTTTTTTTAGGCATGGTACTGTGGTTATTTAGGAAAATGCTTTTGTTTTTACCAGATGTGTGCTGAAGTATTAAGGGATAATTGTCATCATGCCGGTGGCTTACTTTCACACAGTTCAAGCAAAATATAAATAGATAGATAAAGAAGTGTAGCAAAATATTACCAGTTGGTGTGTCTGGGTGAAGGGAATATGGGTATTCATTGTACTATCTTTTCATTTTTCCATAAACTTAAAAGTTTTCAAAATTAAAGGTTAGGTTGGGGAAATTCACAAAAATAAAATGAGGGGAACAGGCAGGTCATGATAATACAGAGATACTTGGTTATCTTTTTACTGTGAAGTCATACTAGCCATTAGGTCATTGACATTACCTCTTTGGAAGAGGGCAAAAAAAAAAAAAAGTGAAAATGATTATCTATAAAATCCTATGGAGCCAGATAGTGAGAACTGATTAACAGTGAAACAATTAGTCTTAAAAAAGAAATCTTAAACACAGTTGTAGCTCAGTTCTCTAAAAGCCTGTCCCTATCTATTCATTTACCAGATTTCTCAAGGAAGAATCTAGATATGAGGAACATTTGGCATAACTAAAGGAGTAGCTCAAAAACCCAAGTTATTAAATGTAATTCACTTAATTAAAAGTTTGATTGGACTTACTGATAGCTGCTGTGTGTTTAAAATGAGTAATTGGAGCCTTTTTAATACTTCCAGACTTGGTAGTGATTTATCACTGTAATTAGAATTCATTGTTTCATGATCCTAATTATCAGAAGAACTAATGCTTCAGATTTTTATGTAATGAGGTGGGCCATAAAATAAAGCTAACAGCACACGGAAAGAGCACATTTCGTCCCCTGAGGTCACTTAACCCAGGTGTCGGTTAAGGGCAGCCCTTCTGCAGGGCGCAGACGTACCTGAGACCACGAAGGATTCTCTCCATCGTGGAAGGGATAACGACCGGACGCCGTTGGAGTAGCTCCCTTTATAGCCAGACTGTCCAGCCACTTTCTGAACCAGTATTTTCCCTCCTGAATTATCAAGCACACCACTGTGAAGAGAGAAAAAAACTTTTTTTGAAGCAAGAGGAGAAGAATATTGTTTGACATATAATAGACTGTGAAACCAGTTGCCATCTTAATTTTTTTCTAATTCTACATGTTATACATTAAAAAATTTTTTAATTGAAGTATTGTTGATTTACGATGTTGTGGTAGTTTCAGGTGTGTAGCATAGCCATTCAGTTATTCATATATATGTATTTATTCTTTTTCACATTCTTTTCCTATACAGGTTATTCCCGAGTATAGACTTCCCTGTGCCATACAGGGGGCTTCCCTGGTGGTGGCTCAGATGGTAAAGAATTCGCCTGCAATATGGGAGGCCTGGGTTTGATCCCTGGGTGGGGAAGATCCCCTGGAGGAGGGCATGGCCACCCACTCCAGTGTTCTTGCCTGGAGAATCCCATGGACAGAGGAGCCTGGTGGGCTGCAGTCCACGGGTCACAAGGAGTCAGACACGACTGAGTGATTGTGTGTGCCTGAGTGCTAAGTCGCTTCAGTTGTGTCCAACTCTTTGCGACCCACTGGACTACAGCCACCAGGCTTTTCTGCCCATGCGATCCTCCAGGCAAGAACACTGGAGTGGGTGGCTGTGCCCCCCTCCAGGGGATTTTCCCGACCCAGGGATGAACCCGTGCCTCTTAGATCTGCATTGGCAGGCAGGATCTTTACCACTAGCACCACCTGGGAAGCCCGCAGTAGGTTCTTGCTGGTTATCTATTTTATATACCGTAGTTTGTATATTAATCCCAAGTTCCTAGTTTATACACCCCCACCCATGTTTTCCCCTTGATAACCATAATTTTGTTTTTGAAATCTGTGACTTGTTTCTGTGAGGTTTTTTTGTAACTAAGTTCACTTGTATAATTTCTTTTTAGATTCCTACTAGTTCTCCCTGAAGTAAAACCTCTTTCCTGACAATTTCCAGTGTGCTTTTGTGACATCACAGAATGATTTCAACTATTTCAAAGGGTGGTACAGTATTTTTAGAAGCACGTTTTCCTCTTATTTTGGGGCAAGGAAGGTGTGTGAGCTAAACTAAGCTCATTTAAAAGAGTCCCCAAAGGTTGGAAATTGTTTCTTTAATTTCTAGGATTTTGAAGGTTTTAGATCCTGATAGGACAGTAACTGACATATCGACCTCTTTGCTTCCACTGAAGCAGGGACTCCAGTAAGTCATTTCCTTGCCCCAGAGCCTAACATGGCTCCCTTGGGCATCTGTAATTGACAGCACGGGGGAACTGGAAAAGTCCTTAGATTTGTTCCCATCAACACCCTTCCTTCTCTACAGGAATGAGTGCTGCCATTTCCTTCCCTCCCACATCCATGGTGAGTCAACAACTTTCAACACTCAACTTCCTAACAGCTCAAAAGGAAAGAAGGTGATAATAATACTTGACATATAAAACCCTTAATTGCTTTTGAATCATTCCCACTCATGGTGTCTTACTGAGTTCTCCCAGCAAACCTGCCGGCTGTGGAGCGGAGGGAATGCTGTCATTCCCACTTCACTGAGATAGGCTTAGGCAGCTTGAGGGATCCTGTGACTCCAAATTTTATAACTTCTAAATGGCAAGGGAGGGATGTGAGCCTAGGTCTAAGCGACCTGGAATCTTGGGTTTGCCCCACGTGGTCACAGTTGCCTCTCAGAGTTCCAAAGCTACAGGCATCTCCCCACATCTAGTCCTCATCTCTCCTTCACTGCGTTGCAACCCTGCCCACCCTTCTCCGGGGAGCTCTCAGTCAGGGCCCCGCACAATCCCAGCTGCAACAAGGCTGGTCCCAGCTCTGCTGACAACCCACAGGATTCCCACCCCCATTTCTGTTCATGCTGTTCTCTGCCCTGGAGAACCTGGCAGTCTCCCCAATACCTCCTACTCCGTGACATTGTTACACCACTTCCATGGCTCAGATGGTGAAGAATCTGCCTGCAATTCAGGAGACGCTGGAGATATGGGTTTGATCCCTGGTTTTAGGAAGATCCCCTGGAGGAGGGCATGGCAACCCACTCCAGTTTTCTTGCCTAAAGAATCCCATAGACAGAGGACGCCTGCGGGTTACAGTTCAAGGGGTAGCAAAGAGTCGGTCACTACTGAGCAGCTTTCACTCACTTCACTTCCTAACAGTGCCTTTGAATCTTGTCTTTCCATGATGACTCTGATTTCATTTTATAAAAATTCCTTGAGTTAACTTTGCCTCTCAACTGGAATGGAAATCTTCTTATGGGACGACACTAGTTTTGCTTCTGTGTTCGAAAGCCTGTCTCTTTGTGGATGCCCCTCATGCTGACTTGTGAAAGAAGGTTGTTAGGTTCGGAATGGTGCCAAGGGGTTCATTTCACAACGGTAGCTTGAAATCAGCCACAGTGGGAGTATTTACACTACACTACAGATGTTAACAAATCAGCATTTACCCCCTCCTCCTTTTAAGAGGGTTAATTGGTAAACACTGACCAGCACACCACTGGCATGGGCTGACAATTCAAATTATTTTTTAAAAACTTATCCCAATTATCCTATGGTCCCCTATTCATAACTAGTAAAGGAAATAGAAATGGCTCTTATCTTTTTATTTTTTCCTGGGGGAAATTTTTCTGTCCCTGGATTTACATTCCATTGTACTGAGGAAATGTGCAAGCAGTCATTCTTGTTTTAAAAGTCAGAAGCACTGTAGCTGCCACTCAGAGTGAGGAAGAGGTGCTGAGTTTCGCTTTGCTCAGGCTTTTAAAAAGGGAATGGGGGAAGGCCTGGGGGTTCTTAGGCTGGACTGGGAGGTGGAGATCCCTTGTGACGGTTATAGAGGACTCCCAACCCAGACTTTGGGAAAGGCATGGACACAGAATTCTTGTCTTCTCAAAGATTTTCCTGTTGTCTTAAGAGAGAGATCTTGAAAGTGGACTTCACCGCAGGACGTACGTACTTCCAGATATCCTTCTGGAGGAGGCATGGGGCAGGCAGTGGTCTGTCAACTCGAGGAGGTGACAGTTGTCCCAGGGGAGGAATGCATGGGACACTAGACCACCACAGGAGATACCAGAGGAGGGAGAGAGCCTGAAGGCCTGTGGTTGCACTTAGGACACATTTAGGGGCTCAGAACCAAGGTAGCTTGGAGAATTATGTAAATAAAACCTCACCTGTATCCTCATTGAGGCGGAGACGCTTCATACACATTTTCTGAAAGAGCAAAACCAGTTCCACTCCTTTGCATTCCTCAGACATCCTGCATGATGCTGAACATGGCCTTGAGGTTCACCTCCTCCCTGACCCTCAGGACACTAGGATCAGCTGAGGGTCAGCATCGTGGCTTGGAGGAAAGGGGCTGTCCACCATGAGGCCAGTTTTGCTGGCTGCCATTCTCAAGATGGGCATCTGGTCAGAAATCCATGCTCAGCAGGAAGAAGGCCTCTTTGTTGTCCCATCTCAGAACTCTTCCCCTCTCCCAGGCTTTGGTCCCACTTTAAACACAGAAGCTAGTTCAGGCCAAGACTGAGCCCGAATGTGATGCCTCAAATACGTTCATTATCTCTTTGGTTTGAAAAGATCAAGGGGATCACTCATAATATGGCATCTGATTATCATACATTATGTGAAAGTTAAACACTTTAAGCTAAATCTGAATTTTGAAACCAAAGTATGCCCTCTCCAGTTTCCCAGTTCTGACTGCATGGGACTCTGGCAGGACAGTGATGGAGGGTCCCTTATGCATTTCCCACTCTTATCCTCTGTCTTCAGTCCTGCCTTCTGAAGAGAGACGTGTTCTGTTTGTAAACAACAGAATTGATATAATCCAAAATTCCTATCTCTTTTTCCTTAGGCTTCTATACATCCTCTTCATGGGTAGTGATTCCTTCTTTCCATCTCCTACTATATCAGCCATGGGTCCAGGAAGTCACGAGGCATTCAGTTGCTCTAGCAGCAAATCTTTTTTGAAACAGTCAAGCTCTTCTCCGCAGTCCCTCTACCCCCATCTGTATTCTCAGCAAGTTCCTAGGCTCCACCCCAAGTGCTGACATTGCTGACTCCTGGTCCTTGTCAATGCCTTTCCTATGTTCTCCCTGGAGGCATGTTCATCTATCATAAAGCCTTTCCCAGCTCTAACTGCTCCAAAGTCTATAACCTCATCATGTCCTCATGTTGTACATTAAGCAATGCTGGGACCCCTCAGTTCTTACCTAAATGCATCACCTGGGCTCTGGGCTGGAAGCCAGGGGACACAAGTTCTAATCCTGGAAGGAACTCGCAATTTAATTAACCTCTCTATGCCTCCCTACGGGCTTCCCTGGTAGCTCAGATGGTAAAGAATCAAAACAGGAGGCCCCGTTTTGATAATCCCCTGGAGAAGAGAATGGCAACCCACTCCAGTACTCTTGCCTGGATAATCCCATGGATGGAGGAGCCTGGTAGGCTACAGTCCATGGGGTTGCAGAGTCTGACACTTTTGACTCTTCCCCTTCTGAGGATGTTAACAGCAGCCTCATAGAGCTGAGGCGATGCTAGGGATGTGTAAGGGGTTACTGTCATGAAGACATCTCGTGAGGTCATATGAACTCGTGTGGCTCTGTACTGCACAGGAAACAAGGGAAGACAAGAGACAGATAGCAAACGCCAGAGGAAGCAAGTGTCAACCTGGAAAAATTCAGCAGGCCTAGGATAGGCTCCGCCTCTACAGAAGATGTCAGTGTCTGTGCAGACAAAAACCAGAGTGTGCCGATGGTGTTGGCAGAGCTGTGAGTGTATGCACACATGTGTCAGGGTGTGTGTGAGCACATACACGTGTGTTCAAGCACAGGTAGAAGGCATGAGTGTGTGAACAAGTGATCATGTGGGGGGGTACACTGTGTCATGGTGTGTGTGAGCACACACACGTGTGTTCAAGTGCAGGTAGGAGGCATGAGTGTGTGAACAAGTGATCCTGTGGGGGCAAGCACAAGTGTGTGCGTATTCACGTGTAGATTTGCATATTGCCTTGCTGCACAAAATTGATTTCAGGGTGAAAGCAAAATATTTTTATTCCATAGTTTGGAGTTAAGAAATAGAATTTGGTGTTTGTTTCTTTGATGTTCCTCTATTTATCCTTAGATGAGTTTTGTATTCCCTCTCCCACTGAAAAACCAGGCAGCTCTTCACCTCTGTGTGCCAGTGGGGAAGAGTATGCCTGACAAAGTCTATTAGTAACTCTTAAGTCTTATTTTAGGCAGAGGTTTTTTTCATTGCTTCTGCAAATTTCAGAGAGGCTACTGCCTAGACACCTTGAAAGGGAATGAATTTTAGGCCCCCCTCTCTCTGGCAGAGATACAACTGAATGATCAAGTGACTGGCCTGCAAGAAAAGAAAAGTGAAAAGATGCCAGAGGCCTGAATAAGTGAGAAACTTCAGCCAGTATCTGGCAGCCAAGCCCAAACTTTAGAGCCGCATCTCAAAGCAGTGCTGGCTAGTGAATAGAAGCGGGAGTACTGATTTGAGTTTGAATCCCTACTCTGATATTTTTCAATGGTGTGGCTTTAGAAAGGCTATTCAACCTCTCTTTACCTTTAAGAGTTGGATAACAGTGGTAGATAGCGCGCAGGGGAGCTGTGGGGGCTGAATTAGACAACACAGGTAGAGAGCTGGACATCCACCCATCAGCCTTATTATCAAACACACTCAGTAAACATACCTTCCCTGTGTTTCGACTCCGAGCCTAAGTGAAAGAGGTGTGAGGTTTCTGTGAAGGTCACGCTTGCCTCATTTAGGCAGTGACATAGTCATGCTTCCTTCTTCCTGGATCCCAAACCAACAGCTGACCAGTCAGGACCACCTGTCACTCTCCTTTTCACTGTTTCCTGTTCCCATTTGTCTCCAGCCATCAACCAGAGCTGTGACATTTCTTCTCTAAACCTCTGGGCTTTGCTTAGTCATGTCCCTATTATTTCCTTGCTCAGCACGTACAGGTAGAAAATATTTTTTTACATCATCAAGAACTTTGGTTTCTTTGTCATGAACACAGAAGAGTAGGATTCTCCTCCCCTCTCATTCATGTGTAAAGAGAAGTCAGTTCTCCTTTCTAGAGAGATTTGCAAGGAGATCCAGGGTCGTGCACAGATTCTGGGTTATCCTCTTGGATAGGGCTGCTAGATAAAACACAGGATGCTCACTTAAAGTTGCCCATTTTTGCTTGCTAATCAGGCAACCCTGCACCGGGGGCTCCCCGCCCACACCCTGACCGCTCATTCTTAAGTAACTCAGTGTTACCCACCTGTGAACTGCAGCGCCACACACGCTAGAATAGGAAGCGTAGACGTCAGTGCCGTAAACGTGGTACCTAGGGTCTTGGCATCCTGGCGGACACTTCACAATGAACTCGACATTCGTTATCTTCCCAGCTCTCACATCACAGCTGATCTGAGGAACAGCTGGGAATGCAAAATGAAGTCAAGATTACACCTTGTGGTAGCAGCTTATATATGGGGTGACTGTTAGGTTATAACGATTCATTTACTTGATCTCTAAAAGCCAGAGCCTGGACTGACCCTGGATCCCCTCTGTATAATGAAAGCAGAGAGGTAATTAGGATATTCCTCAGGCCAAAAGAGCAATCACTGTCCGTTGCATTTAACCTGCTGAGAGCAAGAACAAGAGGCTCATTCCTGTGCTTAATCAAACAATTAATTAATTGGAGTAGAGAACTCTGGGAAAAGACCCACCTCCAGTGGCTAAAAATGTCAGTGTGAGTCCATAGCTGGAGAATACTGCTTTTTCAGATGCTCTGGAGCTAGCCTGAGAAAAGAGGAAATGCTCACAAAACCTTGCAGAAGGAAGGAAAGGTATTCGGGAAGGGCGAGTTAGAGAGCATGGGCTTTGGGTCAGGACTGGCTAGGAAAAGGTGGGCCTAGTGCAGCCAAGACCCCAGCTGGATCCTGGGGGGAGCACTGGGATGGGCAGGGCCAGGCCAGGAGGAGGCAGCTTGGTGCTTGTGTTCTGTGAACAAGGTGGGACTTGGAGGGTTTTTGAACTGGGGAGATAGATAATGGAAGTGATCTTTTGTCTTGGTCCTTGAGGCTGGGTCCTAGCTCCAGGGTCAAGGTAGGAGTCATCCTTCCTCCTCTTCCTCAACGCTCAGTGGAAAGCTGGGGACTGCCCTGCTGGGCATCCTGGGGAAGCCCATTCATTCATCCTCCCTCCTCTTGGGCCTCGTGATGCCACAGCCGGCTAGCAGTAGTCAGTCGGCAAGGCTGCTGGCGCTGCAAGCTTGCTTAGGGATAAGATGACGCAGGTGCTCTAGCAGCAGTACCTAAAAGAGGGGTGCGGCTGCGTCTTCCCTGAAAAAATCTCCCTCCAAAACTCCCGAATGAAAAGGGCTCCTAGAGGATCCTATACTGATGCCCGGGAGCTAGGAATGTATTCTCTAGAAGAGGCTCTGAAGCACAAACAACTGTTCAAAGAGTAAGCAGGAAGGAACTGGAAACCATCGGATGCGAGGGCTGCCTGGCAGAGGTGGGGTGTTTGGACATAAGAAGGCGAGCATTGGAGGCAAGTCACAAGTAGGACTGAGCAAGAACTGAAGGGGAGGTTTCTATGGAGTTTTCTTTTCTTTCTTTTTTTTTTTTTTTTTTTAGCAAAAAGAACTTTCTAGTAAATGAATTTGCCCTTGAAGGAAGGGGCAGGCAGGGACTGAACAGTTGAAGATGGGATGTCTCCATTGGGTGGGAAGTGGAAAGAAAGTCCCGCCCAGTGGTGAGAGTCAGTGATTACAAACATAGATTCCGGATCTCTGCCAGGCCACCCATCTTCTAACTGGGTTACTGAGATGCTTTCAGAGTTGTTAATGGTTTCCAGCTGTATCCAAAATGTACTTTTTTTTTTTTTTTTAACTCTTTTATACCTGAATGGATCAGAGCTGCGTTTCCTTCAGGCTGGAGAGAGGACTGAAGTTAGAGCTCCCGCTCTTTTCCTAAACACCCCTCCCAGACAGTCCTGGCCACACAGGGCTGGGCCAGCATGGAAATCCTCCTGGGAGCCCGGGGGCTGAATGTGATCACAGGCTAAAACAATTTGTGGTCCCCATGGAGAAGGGGAGCGCCGCGCTTAAAACAGTTTTGTGGTTTCATTCTCCCCACCACAGGCTGCTTCCTCTCCAGTTATTTTCTTTTTATCTTCCATTCTTTTAAACCTCGATACTCAAGGCTGCATGGACTATTTTGAGTCTTGGAGTACTATTTTAAAGAGACAATTTGGGGATGGAAGATACCTATGTAGCCTCTCCTTAAACTGGTTAATTGTCAGATCATTGGGTGTATAACTAAATGCATTCAATTCTCCTTCCTTCCGCAGATCACTGCCCCATTCCTGAATGCAGCTCCTCCCTTGGATGTAAAGAAAATGAAAGCATTCCCTCTTGGCTCTTAGTTGTGTGAAATAGGAAGTGACAGCTCTGTGCCCTGGGATTCCATGTGGGCGTGACCTTGGCACCCTGAGGTTTTGGACTTCATGTAGGCCAACCCAACTCTTCTGGAGTTGTAAATGGGGTGCTATGGAGAAGCTTGTTGCATGAATGTCATACAGTGATCGAACCTACAGCAAGACAGGTGCGCAGGCAGTAGAATTTTCCATGAAATAGTTGGTTTAAAATGACAAGGGGAAAAGTGTCACATGGGAATATCCTGCTTCCTGCTCATCAATTCCCACCCTCAACTAGCTCCTTCCTTTGGGGGGAATTTGTTTGTTGTTTTGTCTTGCTTTCACAAAGGCCTGGGCAGTCCCTTCAATAAGATCTGCTTTATCTGCATCTAGTTGGATTATACACTGGTGAATTAATTCACCTCATGATAGTGGGAGGGGGGATAAAATGAAATCAAGCATGTGCACTCGTGTACTTTGGAAAGTGTACCGTTCACTCTCCCCGGAGCCTTACTCGCCAAATCAGTGCCTCCCTGCTCCCTTCAGACCTGAGGCAGATACTTCTTGAGCTGCCTTAAGTTTGACTTCTCCTCTGAAGGAAGGATTATTTCTGCGTTTTTGAGAGGAAACACAAAGATAGATGAAAATGAACCTAAACAACAGAGGAGAAGAGAGAAAAGGAACACTTCTGGGAAGGCATGTGGGATCTTCCCAGACTAGGGATCAAATCCGTGTGTCCTGCATTGGCAGGTGGATACTTTACCCGTGAGCCACCAGGGAAGCCCCCATCCTATACATAATAGTTTGCATCTGCTGACTATCAGCTGTGAAGTGGGAGAGTTCAAAAGTATGCAGAGGAAATCCAGAGATAAACCATTTCATTTGGGCCTTAAGTGGATTGACGGAAGATTCTTAGAAGGTTGCAAGAAAACAGACTACTTCACAAATAACTGGGAAAATACTGTAAAGAAACAGACCGTGGTTTCCATATACTCAGAGAGAGCAGTCAAAAAGATGCGAATGACTGCTTGTTGTTGACTGGATTTAGATATTACACTTTGCAATGAGTTTGGCCATCGCTCTGAAATTATAATTAGCTCACTTTCTTCAGCTTAATTTTCTGTACAAATTGAACACATATTTGACATTTAGACATGCTTCGTCATTGCACCCTGTTCTTCCAATGTGCTTGATTATATGTGCTTGGTTTCATTCCGTCCTGAGTGTACTTCTGTGAGTGGAAGTCAGAGAGCCCTGGGCTGAGTTACAGAGCTCCTGGGGAGCCCAGGACTGCTCGAGCGGAAGCGGCTCAGAGACCTGTTTCCTGGCCATTTGCTCTGCTCCCACCTCATGTGACTCCTTGAGGTTACCTTGCCTTCTCAGGGCTGTTAGCATTTTCTTGATGGAACTCACATCAGGGCATCTCAGAATCTGTTCTCCCCAGAGGACCTTGGCACTGGACACAGGGAAAAGAGAACCATTTGCAATCCAGATGGCAAGAACTGAAGATAACTTTTAGATGTTGTTCACTGAGGCAATGGGTCTGCTGTACTGATCTCAGAAGCAAAACAGGTACTGTCTGAGCCTCCACTTTCATGCAACATCGGGATCGTAGAGGCACGACTGCAGATATTTCTGCTCTAAGTTGGGTTTTCTGCCTGACCTAATAATAGAGTGATTATTGGGTGATGTCACATACAATAAGCCAATGATGTAGAGGCCAAATCAAGCTGTATAATCTCCCGCTTATTTTCCATTCATCTTTTCAGTGAATGTGGTTTTCCAGGCAAACCACATCGCTTCGGGAAAACAAATTTCCTCATCAATTAGAGAAGGCTGTTATAAGCTTGCCTCCTGGCTGTTAATGAGAAAGAATTATTACAACATAAAAGCACTTATGCATAAGCAGTTTTGATATGAAACTTAATTTTGTTGGATTGTGATATTCAACTAGAGTAAAATTCTATTTTTAAGAAAATCATGCAAAAACGTTAATGAAACAAAATGACCACCAAATAAAATTTTAAGATGAAACCCCCTTCTCCTTGATCCTGACACCAGTGAACAGATCATGTTAATTCTTCCTTGGCAGCATATTCTTTTGCAGAGATTCTTTTACGTTTTGCTTAAACAGTCTTTGACCATGTTGAATCTTTTTAAAAAATTTATGCTACTGAAGCATAGTTGATTTAAAATGTCATGTTAATTTCTGTTGTACAGCAAAGTGATTCAGTTATACATATATATATTCTTTTCAATTATCATTTATCACAGGATATTGAGTATAGTTCCCTGTGCTATATGGGAGGAGCTTACTATTTATCCATCCTATACATAATCATTTTTTTTAAATTTTTGTTTATTTATTCAGGCTGCACTGGGTCTCTGTTGCTGCCTGGGCTTTTCTCTGGTTGTGGTGAATGAGGGCCACTCTCTAGTTGTGGTACTCAGGCTTCTCCTTGTGGTGGCTTCTCTTGCTCTGGAGCACGTGCTTAGTTGCCCTGAGGCATGTGGGACCTTCCCGGACTAGGGATCAAACCCATGTCTCCTGCATTGGCAGGTAGATTCTTTACCAGTGAGCCACCGGGGAAGCCCCCATCATATACATAACAGTTTGCATCTGCTGACCCCAAATGCCCATCCTTCCCTCACTCACCTTCTCCCCACCCTTGGCAACCGCAAGTCCGTTCCCCATATCTGTGAGTCTGTTTGTCTCACTGATAAGTTCATTTGTGTCATATTTTAGATTCCACATATGGGTGATGTCTATGATATCTGTCTTTCTCTGTCTGACTTACTTCACTTAGGATGATAATCTCTACATCCATTCATGTTGCTGCAAATGGCATTATTTTACTCTCTTTAAGGCTGAGTAGTATTCCATTATATATATAGGTACACACCACATTTTCCCTATCCATCTATTGGTGGACATTTAGGTTGTTTGCATATTTTGGCTATTGTAAATAGTGCTGCTATGAGCACAGGGATGCATGTATCTTTTTGAATTACAGTT